TCCAGCTACTACTTGGAAGGCTGAGTCAGAAGGCTCGCCTGACCCCAGGAGGTTGAGGCTGCTGAGCCGTGATGATTGTGATCATGCCACTGCACTCCAGCCTGGACAACAGAGTGAGAATGTAACTCAAAAAAAAAAGCTATGCTCGTTGCCCCACTAGAATATCAACCCCTGAATCCCCTGGGCTTAGTCCAGTGCTGCACCTGGGAGGGTGAACACCAGCTGACAACCCTTCTATAGGGTACCCGAGGCACCAAACCATCTAACTTTATAAATATTGGTGACATCAATATAGATCTATAAATATGCAGGCAGCTAGTTATGAATGCCCATTCCATGCAAGGTGTAACTTGGCAACTTCCACCATGGACAGTTGTGGATACAGAGTTCGTGTGAGCCATGGTCAGCATATGAAAGTTGATGCTTCTAGGTCACCACTGGGAAGGGGAGTCTGTGCTGGACAGCTTTCTTTCCAGGGAGGCTACTGTGCTGTATCAACTGACCTGGAGTCTAGCCCCCTTATGTGAGTGATCTGTTGTTGTTAGAGACAAGATCTCTATCACTCAGGCTGGAGTGCAGTGATATGATCATAGCTTACTGCAGCCTCAAACTCCTGGCCCCCAAGTAATCCTCCTGCCTCAGCCTCTCACAGCTATGGGATTATAGGCATGAGCCCACACCCAGCCTGCATTCTCTCTTCTATCAACATGCATTTATTAACATATACACACAGCACCCTGATCTGTAGGGGTGCTGAGGTCAAAACAGCATGGTGTCATTCCTGCCAGTGTCCTGCTCTGTCCCTGAATCCAGTCCTGGGTCGGGGGGTCGGATAGATGCAAGCAAAGCTGTTGTGTGTGCTTATGTAGGTCAGGTGATCAGCTGACCTTTGTCATCACTCTGCTAGGTGGATGCTGACTACTGAGCCAGGGGATACAGGAAGTCAGTTCCTGTGGGGAGCAAGTGTAGAGGGTGAGTGATGCCAGGCAGCAAAGCCCAAGAACCAGGGCTCGAACCATGTGATGCAAGCACCCAGCTTGGCCTTCTTGGTGGTCAAGCCCCTCAACGGAGAAGGCGGGACTCGAGCTGGGTTCAGCCATTAGAAGAGGGATGATGACTGGGAACAAGAGCGCACATTCCAGAATGGCCCAGGTGGCTACAGATCCATCCAGGGCCGTGTAGATGCTTTGGCAAGGACACAGTATTCACCTGGAGGTGACCAGCTGGAGATCAGGTTAGGAAAGTGGGTGAATTAGGACAAGCTTGGCTTTCCAGCAACTCAACCCAGCTTCCTCCCAGAGTATTGGCACAGAGTAGACGCCACTGGTCACACAGGGGAAGCAACGGTTCAATCAGCGGATCTTAAACCACTTCTAATTCCAAACAAGATATGTTACCATGGCCACTTGCAGTGTCCAGTTTAACAGAGCTAAGGATCTAGAATCTCAGCTGGAACTCATCAGTATGGGGTTGGGCCTGGGGCTTCCTTTCCACAGGTGACCACTCCTCTGAGATGCAAAGCGTGTGTCCCTCTCTGCTCCTGAGGAGTCAATCCCCACCTGAAAGGCAGGTGACAGCAGCCACACAACACACTGTCTGTCTAGCAGGTGGGAGGAGGAAGGACTGCTAGGAGGAAGGGCGGAAGTTTGGGAGCAGAGGGCTGGGAACTTGATGGCAGGGGATGGAAAGGAGACACAAGGAAGCCACAGGAACTGATGACCACAAAGGCAGCCAGATGCCTACAGGGAGCCATGCAGGACATGTCTGCGACCACTCAGCTCCACTGCCCCTGCCTCCATTCCAGAACCTTTGCAAGCTCCATGCACCATTACACCCATGGCTGAGCTGGCACTTGTCCCTCTCTGCACTTACCCAGGTTGCCCACTGGGGCTGGGAATTGACAACCAGAGTCCATAGGTGGATGAACACGTTCCCCTCTCTCCAAAGTGGACAGGATCCACAGAAGGCCCTGTGGATTGTGTGGGGGCACAGCGGCCCCTTGTAGGTGGGCCACCTGACATTCACCCTTGTGGGAGCTTCACCTCTCCAGTTTCACTCCCACAGCTGCACCCCTGCACCCTGCTGTCACTGCCAACCCTGCCACCCTCAGGCCTCGTCACACCAGGCCCTGCCACTGGGGTGGCAGCCCTCGTCACACCACTGGGGTGGCAGCCCTCGTCACACCACTGGGGTGGCAGCCCTCGTCACACCAGGCCCTGCCACTGGGGTTACCTGGGCTGACAGCCCTGTGTAGCACCCACAATTCATCACATACCACAAATTCACATGAAACACTTTCTACAGTGAATGATGTTAGCCCTAGGCCTAGACAGGAGGCCAACCAGTCTCAAAATCATGCGAGAAGCACATTCGGGAGCAAGTCCTTCATCAAGTACTAAGCAAGGACGAAGCAGGCATGGCACAGTATCTGCCTCTTCTCTTACGTCAGTTGGCCATGATTGGTCACACGCAGCGACCTGATGAAAGAGAGCCTCAGAGAAGACCCTGGAACCTCTGGGAGAGCACAGGACTTGGCAAAAACAACTCAGCATGGAGTGTTCGTGGACATTTATTTCTTTCAAAGATTGTTCGTGTTCCAGCCACATCTTCTCAAAAGGAACCTGCCCAGAGTCAATGCACAGAATGGTTACAGGGCTGACTCGTGTTTCTAAAGTGCTACCAAGGAATACAATCATTGTCACATTGTCACACACTCCAGCATCAAGGCAAACCTCTCTACAGACCTGGAAAACCTTTTATTTCTTCTCTTTTTAAAATGTAGTTTCGACATAATGTTGGGGGGGACACAAGCCTAAATTATACATGGTACGTGACTGTCCGGCTGTTGGTGAGGGAACCAGGCAGGTGAAAGGGTTTCAGATATAACAGAGGAATGCTAGAGGTCACAGACTAGAGGTAACCTGAGTTTGCTTTGCAGGATTCAGCAATGGCCTTGTCCCCATGCTGGATGCTTTGGTAATCATGTCTGGGCCAGACTGGGGCAGTGGAGACAGAGCCTGGCATTGGGGTCTATGCCAGTTCCTAGACATGTTTTCCATCTGATTGATAAGTGTTCTGACTTCCAACATCCACCCACTTGTACTTGGGGTTTCCAGACTAAGAGCTGAGAGATTATTACCCAGAAAATACCTGCAATAGAAATGAGTTTTTCCCTTTCTGCTAAAAAATCTAAGATGGCACCTAATTTGTCACTGGGTGGCAACTGGTCAAGTAGCAGTCAAGGCTGGTTTTGGACCTGAAACTTGATTAAAATAAAGTGCTCTTTAAATGCTCTTTTCCACAGCAGGTTTCAACTGGAACAAGAAGATGACTACTTTTGTTATTGCTACATTCACACAGGAGCAGGTACACACACTTAAAGCTCCATTTCATTCCCTCACAAAGAACATAGGCTCATCCTTAAACAAACGGGGGAAGGATGGGAAGTTCACTAAATCCGACATGAGCACTTGGTTCCCGAGATACAGACATACATTAACATTAGTGTTCATGGGGAATTTTTTTTTTTTTTTTTCAGTCAAGGTCTCACTCTGTCACCCAGGCTGGAGTACAGTGGCATGATCATGGCTCACTCAGCTCACTGCAGCCTCGACCTCCTGGGCTTAGGCAATCCTTCCACCTCAGCCTCCTGAGTAGCTGGAACTATAGGTGTGTGCCACCACACCTGGCTAATTTTTTCATTTTTATTTTAGAGACAAGGTTTTGCTATGTTGCCCAGGTTGATTGCGAACTCCTGGGCTCAAGCGATCCTCCTGCCTCAGCCTCCCAATGTTCTGGAATTACAGGCATGAGCCACCACACCCAGTCAGAAATTTCTTTTAAAATACTACTCTGCAAAAATCTCATCAAGACAAAAAACAAAACCATCAAGCCACTAAAGTTTTTAGAAAAGGTGAAGGAATGAAGGTAATTTACACATCAGTATTTTGAGCATTTAGTGTGTTATCTTCATGGATCCTTAACCTTAATGACACCTGCTTTATAAATACCCTACACCATGAAGAAAACAAACCCTGGATAAGACAGGTTGGAGAAGAAACATTCACAGTATCAATACAGCCCATTCTCACTAGCTACCCTGATGCTTCCCTATGTGTTTCCTTTTCCACATCCTCCTAAACTCCCTGCTGAAATAGTGTTCTCTGTAACTTCAGAAAAGGCCATTAGATAGAGACAGCATGAGCCCAACTATAGGCTCAATTAGACACAGGTATTTGACCATGAACAGGATGTTTGTGGGGTTTGTCTGGGAATGTGATGATTAAAAACATTCTTTCTTTCTTTTTTAAGAGCAAGAAAGCTGAATCTAAAGTTCTAATACCTTCACACTTGAATTCCAAAACCAACCAAACAAAAAACTGTTAAAAACTTCTGATCAGAGTCTGAAATTCTGATGTATGATATCCTCTTCAAATTAATTCATACAGGTCACAGGTTCTGTTTCCCACATGACCAAGAACAGTAAAACTTCAAGTAAAACAAAACATTAAAGTGACCATCCATCCCAAAAACCTATTAGTGATTACTTACTTTGGGAACTAACTTGGTATATTAACATATTTTGAAACTCTGAGTACTATTTCACGATGAATCAAATTGGAATATAAATTTTTTAAAACAAAGCATGGTGAAAATGTCATTTTAAAGTCATTTGATAATTCCTTGAACACCTAATAAGTTTTCAGTTTATATTTTAAAGTGAAATCCCTACTGTATAACTTTGGTTTCTATATACATTTTTGCTCATCAATGGCTTTATTATCCCTGAAATATTTAATGCTTAAGGATGAACAAAAGAGTCGACAGAAAGGAGATCGCCCAATTCTGAATCCCCGGTAGAGGTCAAGTTGTCAGAAAATCCTTTTAAATCTTATAGGAGGAAAATGCATGTGATTAAAATGTCAAAACATTTTCCCCCAATGAAAATTGCTCTTTAATGAGCATATCTACTGGAAGAGACACATTCAGAAGAAGTGGATGAGGGTGAAAATTGTGAATGAACCAAAATAGAAAGGTGACTAATGAGGAATATGGGTGGAAAGATACACAGGAATATTAAAACTGTGGGCCACTTTTGTCATTTTTTCCACTGGAATTCAGAATGGGGGCACCCCACAATGTGCCCCAGAGCACTGTTTGCAATAACATTCTGAGAGCTCATAGAAGGAATTTCATGCAAGTTTGGCCCATTTGTTAAGAAACTTCCATCCCTAAGACCAACACCTGAGACACAAAACAATTTCCTCTACTGCCCTGTAGGTTCTTTGTTGTGGCTACAGGCGGTATTTGGCAAAAACCGTGTATGCGTGTGGTCACCATGTTCTATGAGCAGTGTTACGCTTTGTTCCTAACTTCTTTTGACAGGCTTGCTGTGCTCTTGTTTAGCAAGTATGACAGTCCAGAAAAAAAAAATCTAGGTGCCCACTGTTCCACTGGTCTCATTCGAGCTTTTGATGTGATAGAGAAAAATTTAAAAAACCACATAAGAATGTATATATGTTCCACTTGCGAGTAGGTCAAGGTGAACTTAGTAAAGTGTCCAGCATCATATGCATAGGATGTACTTAGTGTCTGCATAAGTGTTCAAGATCTATGGCTAATATCAAAGGCCAACGTCTTCTATATCTGTCATAGCATTTCCATTCCTATCATAATTTCTCTCTCAAAGGACCTGCCCGTGTCCCACCTCCATGTGCTCAGGGCCAGTTGCACTTTTTTATCCTAAGCAGCAAAGGAGGAGAGGTGACCCATCCATTCCATTCACAAATGACAGCACAGAGGGGACCTCCTCTTTGTGACATGGTCCGAGCATGGACCCCAAATACCACTTGCTAGAGTGAAGAATGGGTAAAACCGAGTCCCTCAACCTGCCCCCACACGGGGTCCAGAGAGCATATTATTTCACTCACGATGCAGATCTCCTCCTCAAACCTAACCCCGACTCCTGGACTTGAGCACAGCCCCAGCAGTGGGGTGCTCTCGGGTCTCATTTGGCATCTGGTGGCAAATTGGGCTTTCTCAGTCCTCTTTGGGGGAAGCCTCCTGACTGGAGACTCAGACCTTTTTTCCCTTTAAAAGAATAGATAGTTGGGGGGAAAAACCCCAGCTAGATAAGTGGGGTATCTGACAGCAGGCTGACGCTGGCGCTCTGTCCCAGTGAGGGTAGTCAGTGCGGTGCATGTCTTCCGGATTGGCAGTGCAAGCCGTGGGCTCTACGTGCAGGGCTCCACGGGGGCACCATTCATAGCGTTCTTGCTTCTGTGCCTGGAGAGCAGTTTCTTGTTCAGGATCCTGGTGAGGGTCACCCCTTTCCTCCGGGCTCCCTCTGGCTGCTGCAGGAACACGAGGTCATTGTGTGACTGGCTCATGCCTGGGTCTTTCTGTTGATGCCGCCGGCGGAAGAACAGCTTCGCACCTTTCCTTAGAATTCCTCCTGGAAGAGGAGGAAGGGGCTGGTCAGGTGGGCTGGAATGAAATGCCCAATGACTAGTACAACAGAAACAGGAAAGGAGGTTTAAGGGGCTAGCTTACTACTTCAATGTACTATCACTATTTGCATAAGAAAAACAATTGGAATTTGACTTTTATAAAACTAGAATTTTCAAGATGCTAAGAGGAGAGAGAAGTAGAGCTGGGCACAGTAGCTCACGACAGTAATCCCAGCCTTTGGGAAGCGGAAGCAGGAGGATGGCTTGAGGCCAGAAGTTGGAGACCAGCCTAGGTAACATAGCCAGACAGCAACAACAAAAAACCAGTGAACCTGGAGTACCACTTGGGAGCTATTCCCAGGGAAGATGTTTATATCATTGACTCCCTAGTCAAACCTAATGGAGGCCCCTCTGGTCCACCCACCTCTCTTCATTAGGAAGAGTGTAATGGCAAAGCAGTATTGTACTCCAGAAAGGATGGTCCTCATACAACCAAATTAAGAACACTGAGAACAATGGTGTTCACTTTCTTAGCAAAGTTAAAGAATATTTGTTCTTTGGGGAGCAAGATTTTTAAAAAATAATTCCAGATTATATTTTATATAAATTATTCAAACGGCCAAGTCACCTAAAATGTGTGACTTTGCATTTTTGACCTATAAAACCTCAACTTTGTATGGTTCAACCTATCTGTATATAATAGTAGGTAGTAGCATATGGAATAGAAAAAAAAATTAGCAGCCGCAACAATGATAACTTCAACAGCAATGATTCCTTGAAGATCAAGTACAAGCTAATGTAGTGGGGGTCAGAGCCCACTTTGCAAAAAAGTCCATCTGCTTTTTCTTTTTTCTTTTCATTTTTTTTTGAGACAGGGTCTTGCTCTGTTGCCCAGGCTGGAGTGCAAAGACAATGATCCTCCCACCCCAGCCTCCTGATAGCTGGACTACAGGTACATACCACCCACCCAGCTAAATTTTTTTTAAATGTTTAGCCTAATGGGGTCTGGCTATATTGCCAAAACTGGCCTCAAGAAATTCTCCACATTGGTTCCTAAAGTGATGGAATTACAGGCGTAAGCCATTAACAGATTAGCTTAACATCCTATTAGCCAAGCAAGGGAGTATTTCAAGCTAGACTGAAATTTATTACCATTTTCATGTAGGTATTAATGACATTGCAAGAAGACAGGTCTGATCACCATGATGAGGAGCTTTATGCTTAATTTGGTAATTCATACTTTTTGGTGATAGGTATATCCAACAGCCATGTCAATAGCCATGTCATATACAAATAACCACCATGTTGATTCAGAGGAGAGGGTGAAGGACATCAGCTCACTTTTGTAAATTTCTAAATGGAAGGCAACACCTGTGGCATCTGAGGGCAGTCAGAGAAACCTGGCAGAGACCTGCCTATGAATCTTCATATGATCAACACTCACTGTGAGGAAAGGCTTGCTTCCAGGGCCTGACTTTCAGTGTGAGCTTCCCTGTCCTGTTTGCTCTACCCAGATTAGGGCAGAAGTTGAGAAGATAGAGAGCTCATGCAATGGGCTGTACTTAATCTAGTCAAAGCTGCCATAAAATAATTTTTAACTATTTTAAAAATAATTTTTAAACAATTTTTAAATTTTCTCTTTAGATACAACCAAATCACTTATTATGAAGAACTGATACAAAGACTCACTAATGTCTGTCCATATTGCCACAGTCCCTAGCGAAGAGTATGGCAAGGGTTCAAGCATTCCAGTGCGTTCCTGAGAGCTAACAAAAGGTGCCTTCCCCTTATCACCTAACATCAAAGAATCCTTAGCTTCTCTGCTGACTGTGTCCAATTAACTGAGAGATGTAAATCCCCATTTATTCCCTTTTTTTAGTAGTCACAGGTTTGAATAATATAGTATCAAGGTAAAGTCTTGGGATTTGTATAACTTTTATATCAATGTAATCATAAGGCTTATGATATGTAGAACTTTTGCATATAACAATGTAATGGATGATGTCTTAGGTACTGTTAACTCCCTTTACTCGACAGCAAACTTGATTAACGCTTCTGCCGGGTGTTACTGATAAAAAACTGTGAGATACCTCTGGTAACTAGTGCCAGGAAATGGGGACCATAAAACATCAGTCATTATTGACAAAATGCGGCTATAACTTTGGTTCTATACAATGCTCTGCTAGTCACGTAGTCAATGTATAGGTACTAACTACCCTGAACTTATAAACGTAGACTGTAAAACTTGGAAGGTGTGCAGAACCATTTCAAAGAGGCCAGAAGCCCAGCTCTGCTCCCTGGATTCAAATTCAGAAATAAACCTTTTTCTACAGGCAGTTCCCCACCCCTTTGATTTATTGGTATCAAGGGAGAGCAGTCGAGCGTTACTCAGACTATAAAAGATACATCAGGACATTTTTTACAATGATCTGAAGTTGGAATCCTGCATATGGGGGTTCCAGAGACTGCTGGAAAGGGAATAAAGAAGAAGGGTACGTATTAGGTGGAGGCATAAGTTCGTAGCATTTGCTTTTGGCATGGTAACACTGCAGGTATTGGGAGTTTATTGTTTTCATTTGTCATTTGGAGTGACAATATTGTGCTGGTAAATATGTCTTGCATTTTGCAGATTTGAAGAAAGTTGGTGCTATTTGTGGGTTAAAGAAGATGGAAAAGTGGGAAAAAGAAATGAACCCTTCTGGCATAGTCTTCTGTTTGAATTTAACAGAGGAGCAAAGGCAGCAGAGGCAGCTTGAAGCATTCGTGCCATATATGGAGAGAATGCCATTGGGGAATAACGGCAAGAAAGTGGTTTTGGCGTTTCAAAGAGGGCCACTTTGACCTGAGTGACTCTCCACATTCGGGAAGACCATCGGGCTTTGATGAAGACTGTCTTAACACTTTAATCCAAGAGGATCCATGTCGGGCGACCGAGAACTGGCGAATGTGATGAACTATGACCAGTCAACCATCGAATGACATTTGCATTCCATGGGCAAGTAAAAGCGCTACGAACTTATGCATCGCCCCAACAGGATAAAGGTGTCAATGACATCACTCCTGTCAGTAGACCTGAGGGCCCCTCCCGTGGGACATCAGTGTCATTCCTGAAAAATGCAGTATATCATGAAAAATTGCCCATAGGGTGTATCATGGCAGCTGAACAACTACCACCAACCGGACATGACTTTGGAGCTTGGCCAGTGGGGCAGATTCTTGGTAGTGCCACATGGTTAATTTGCAGGTCAAATGACATGTATCGGTGGCATCTGCTGGGAAAATGCCCTGGGTACAGTAACAGGGGCTTCCAGGCAAGGAACTCCCAGCTATGAGGGAGCTCTGAGCCTATCAGGTGACCTCAGGTTGTAGGGGGAGGGGGTGACCTAGGTGGTATTTAGGTGGTATATCTGATCTGTAGGTTCCTGCCTTGGGCTCTGCTTTGGGTTGACCTTGGAGTCCCAGAAGGACACATTAACATGGGTTTCTCACATTTGGAACAGAGGAGAGGAAGACAATTTGCAAGGATCCCTGAGATTCACCTGGATTGCTCTGATATCCCCACCACCCTCCTCAGGGATGCACCAATCCATTCCCCAGGTCAACTGCAGACCCAAGGACTCAAGACCCCTGGCAGTAAGAGGGTCTCTCCTAGAAGGGTCTGTCTCCAAAGTCAATCTCAGCTTTGTCCTTGCCCTGAAATTGGCCTGGGGTCTAGAATCAGGGCCTGAGGTATGAGCAGGGACAGTGTTATCGGCTGAACTGTGTCTCGGAGAAATTCATATATTGAAATCCTAACCCCTAATACTTCAGAATGTTACCTTATTTGGAGATAGGGGCTCTGTGGATGTCATCAAGTAAGGTCATCAGGGTGGTGCCTAATAATAATATGCTTGTTGTCCTCAGAAAAAGGGGAAATAGGGACCCAGAGACAGACACACAGAGGGAGGACAATGTAAAGAGACAAGGGGAGAAAGCCATATGAAGATGAAGACAGAGATGAAGGCAGAGAGGGGTGATTCTTCTATAAGTCAAGGAACACCAAAGCTTGCCAGCAGCCACCAGATGCCGGAGCAAGGCCTGGACAGACTCTCCCTCACGACCTAAAAAGAAACCAGCCCTGTCGACATCTCCATCTCAGAATTCTGGCCTCCAGAGCCACAATAGGATCAAAATTCCCTTTTTTTTTTTTTAAATCAGGGACTCACTCTGTCACCCAGGCTAGAGTGCAATGGCACCATCACGGCTTACTGCAGCTTCAACCTCCTGGGCTTAGTTGATCCTTCCACCTCAGCCTCCTGAGTAGCCAGGATTATAGGCATGCACCACCATGCCTGGCTAATTTTATGATTTTTAAAAAATTTATTGTAGAGATGACGTCTCTCACTATGCTGTCCAGACTGGTCTTGAACTCCTGGGCTTAAGCAATCCTCCCACCTCAGCCTCCCAATGTGCTGAATAACAGGTGTAAACCACCATGCCTGGCCTAATTTCTATAGTTTAAAGTACAGGCTATGGTACTCTGTTACAGGCCTAGGAAACTAGGATACCCAGGAAAGGGAAGGGGAGCATCTGACTTACGATGAGGGTCCAGAAATACCTTGCCATATCCTCCTGTTCAGTACATGGAACCCTGGCAGTCACGTGGGAGAATTGGGAGCACAGGGGACAGTGAAGAAGTGTCCTTAACCCTGGAACACTCCTAAATCAGGAACATCTTTTAAAAACTACAGATGCTAGCTGGGCATGGTGGCTCATGTCTATAATCCCAGCTTTGGGAGGTCAAGGAGGGAGGACTGCTTGAGCCCAGGAGTTCAAGACTAGCCTGGGCAACACAGCGAGACCTTGTCTCTATAAGAAAAATCAAAATTCAAAAAAAATTGGCTGGGTAGGGTGGCCTGAGAGTAGTCCCAGCTACTTAGGAGACTGAGGTGGAACAATTGCCTGAGCCCAGAAAAACAAGGCTGCGGTAGCCATGATTGTTCCATTGCATTCTAACCTGGGCAAC